TCTAACAGCGGGAGGTAAAAGAAACAGTGTTGTCCATTGCAACGGAATATTTCTGTATACTAGAGCAGCCTTTCTCTACCTGGGTGCTGTGGCAATACAAAACACAAAAAGGTCCCCGACACACCTGCCAGCTAGCCTGCAACAAAACAAATGCAACAAAAGCCACACTGCCCCGTCAAGGCACCTCTGTAAAGTGTGGTCCTATGGCCCGGTTCACACCTGGGCGTTTTGTAGCGCGTTTGTACGCTCTGCAAAACGCTCAAACACCGAAATCCCATTATTTCCTATGGGTATGGTTCACACCTGGGCGTATTACAGGCCGTATGAACGCGCTACAAAACATCCTACGCCCAAAGATGTACAGGAGCTTCTTTGGGGCGTTTTTGTCGCGCGTTTCCATTGGGATACAGCCAAGTAGCCCTCGGAAACGCACGTTTGTCGCGCGTTTTTTACCGCGAATCGCGGTACAAAACGCCTAGGTGTGAACCCAGCCTAACTCTATTTGTATGAGTCTCCAAGTGTGAGCATATTAATGCAGTCGATAAATTAAATGCAGGTGTACCTGGTGGTAGCCTACTCCTCCTCAAAAGGTGCAGGGACGCACTGGAGGCCCAGCAACCAAAAATGCACGCTGGGACCCCCAGTGCGTCCCCACATCAAAAATAGTCAGACTAGAAAAAGATGGTAACCGAAGAAATTTATAACCAGCCTTTGTAGCAAGGTGCACATGGGAAGCCTTACAACAATACATAACACAAAAAGGTCCCCGGCACACCTGCCAGCTAGCCTGCAACAAAACAAATTACCCTGTCAACAGTTTGCATTAAAAACAGGGGTGCCTTCTGCCTTCTTCAGGGGTGCCTCGAAATTTCACCCAGCGTCATGCCTTTCCATGGTGCAGGCAGGCTTCTGATCTGAAGAGGGATCCTGATGTGAGGAAGCAACTTTTATGTCCAAGGTGGGGACTCTGATATAAAAGGAGGGCTATGATGTAAAGAGGGGACTCTGGTATGACAGGGGAGCTCCTGATGTGAAGGGGAGGTTCTGATTTGAAGAGGGCTCTTGATGTGAAGGGGGCTTGTGATCTGAAGGGGGGGACTATGATGTGAAAGGAGGGGGCTCTGATGAGAAGAGTGGTTCCAAGAGTGATGGGGGGCTCTGATGTGAAAGAGGGGATCTGATGAGAAAGAGGAGGGCTCTGACGTGAGAGAGGAGGGCTCTGATGTGAATGGAGACTCTGATGTAAAAGGGGCCCTGATGTGAAAGGGGGGCTCTGATGTGAGAGAGGGGATCTGATGAGAAAGAGGAGGGCTCTGATGTGAATGGAGACTCTGATGTAAACGGGGGCTCTGATGTGGAAGGGGGGCTCTGATGTGAAAGGAGAAAGCTCCTGATGTAATGGCAGATTCTGATGTGAAAGGTGGGATTCTAATGTGAAAAAGCGGCTCCTGATGTGAGAGGGGAGACTGTGATGTGAAAGAGGGATCTGATGTGAAAGAGGGGCTCTGATGTGAAAGGAGAAAGCTCCTGCTGTAAAGGGGGCACATGATGTAATGGCAGATTCTGATGTGAAAGGTGGGATTCTAATGTGAAAAGGGCTCTCCTGATGTGAGAGGGGAGACTGTGATGTGAAAGGGGGATCTGATGTGAAAGAGGGGCTCTGATGTTAAAGAGGGGCTCTGATGTGAAAGTTGGGATTCTAATGCAAAAGGGGGGCTTCTGGTGTGAGAGGGGGGACTCTGATGTGAAATGAGGACGCTCCTAGGGTAAAGGGAGTATCTGATGTAATGGAGGACTCTGATGTGAAAGGTGGGACTCTAATGTGAAAGGGGGGCTTCTGGTGTGAAGGAGGGGAACTCTGATGTACAAGGGGGGCTCTGATGTGAAAGAGGGTAAATCTGCTGTGAAAAGTGGCTTCTGATGTGAAGAGGGGTTCCTAGTGTGAGAAAGGGGACTCTGATGTGAAAGGAGGAAGCTCCTAGTGTAAATGGAGTATCTGATGTAATGGAGGACTCTGATGTGAAAGGTGGGACTCTAATGTGAAAGGGGGCTTCTGGTGTGAAAGAGGGGAACTCTGATGTGAAAGGAGGAAGCTCCTGCTGTAAAGGGGGCACCTGATGTAATGGGGGACTCTGATGTGGAAGGTGGAATTCTAATGTGAAAGGGGGGCTCCTCAAGTGAGAGGGGAGACTCTGATGTGAAAGGAGGACGCTCCTGGTGTAAAGGGGGTGCCTGATGTAATGGGGGACTCTGATGTGAAAGATGGTATTCTAATGTGAAAAGGGGGCTTCTGATGTGAGAGGCGAGACTCTGATGTGAAAGGAGGAAGCTCCTGATATGAAGGGGTTTTCCTAATATAATGGGGGACTTTGATGTGAAAGGTGGGATTCTAATATGAAAGGGTGGCTCTTGATGTTAATGGGGGGCTCCTGATTTGAAAGGGGGAAACTCTACTTTTTTATGCCTTTGTATGCGGTACCCCATTAAAATTCATACCAGACCCAGATCTGAAACAGGGGTCCAGTATGGAATTTTGGAGGCCTCATAGTTCTAGCCGACCTGTGACACTGAAACTGTCACTGGTCGGCTCAGTAGATCGGGAAGTGAACGAACACATACCGGCGTTCACTCACCTCTCAAACCTGTCACGGCAGAGAGCTGGATTCCCCCCTCCCCGCTCCAATCCGCCAGCGATGACTGGCGGTTTGGACGGGGGAGGGGCGGGTACCGCTGGCTCTGCCTCTAGATAGGCAGAGCCAGCTGTCACTCACGCAGCTGGGCGGATCCAGACATAATTGTCGGGATCCGCTTCAGCTGCGCCATCTCAGTATACCGCGAGCAGTAGCTCGCGGTATACTGTGGCGTCTCAGTATACCGCGAGCTAGCTATACTGAGCTTAGGGTGACGGGAGGAGGCTAGTTTGTGTCCTCCCGTTACCCTAAGGAGAACTATGGGGAAAAGCCTTAACCCCATAGTTCTCCTTTAATTTTATACATTTAGGCTTTCTACATTTTAGACTGGGTGTGTTGCAAATTTGCATTGTTTTAAAGGGTGTGGTGACTGAAAAAAGTTTGAGATACGATGTACTAGAGATACAGCATTGCCTTCCTATGAAAAAGCTCATTCACATGCCCTCACTTCCAGAACAAAACCCCAAAACAATTAGCTTAGTCTCTGCTTATGGGTAAGTGGGCTAAGTCTTGCAAATCAATCCTTTTTGCCCCTTTAGCCATCTCTGCACCCAGAACCTCTGGTGTAAAGAACAGATAAAGCCATGACTTTACAGAGCCAAAATAACAACAGGCATACAACTGTTTCAGGCTTCTTAGCCCTGATCAGTGCAAGATTACTAGAAACGACAGCTCATGCAGACTGATTGCTAAGGGAAACACTCTTTAACTACAATTTTTAGAAATATGCTCTCTCGCAAGAATGGTGGTCAAAGTGAATACCTCCCTTGTTTAACTCCTACACACATGCCAGGTTGTTAGGGAGCAGTAGCGTCACAATTGGGGTGCGACCCGCACCCGGGGACACCATTGGAGGGGTGACACAAAATGACTGACAGTAGTGTATCACTGAACTGCAGCTATACTGTATCTAAACTTCATTATATTGCAAACCTACGGGTATTCTTAATTCTACTGAAGTATTATTTCAATGTACTGCCATTATATTGTTTTTATACTTCATTATATTGCAAACCTGCAGTTGATCTTAATTTTACTGCAGTTGTACTTCAATATACTGCAGTTATACTACATCTTTTTTTTGTAAGGGTCCCTCTCTTCATCTAGATTAGACATGCGCATTTGGATTCGGAGGACTTGCTGAATCACGACATTCCATTAAATTGGCAGTATGTCCGAGTCCAAATAAATATACGAAAAAAATATTCCGGCATATATTAATTCGTTTTGTATGGGCATCGCCATTTTGCTACTTCCAAGATGGCGGCACCCATACATGCATATGACATCACCCTACGCCGGCATTGGGTGACGTCATACGCCTCGCCTTCAAGATAATGGCATGCATGCACAGAACCTGCTGGCGGTCAATATGGCTGCCGCACTTTTTGTTTTTTTTAATTGTGCGTTTTCGGAGGTTCGTTGCTTTCAAATCCAAAACAGCATAATTATTTGTTTAATCAAACAAAAGAAATTAAAAGGTTTTTACCTTTCATTTGTTTCCTGCGAAACAAATTTTTATGCTGTGCACATATCTAATCTCCATAACATGGAGGGGGAGGAATATTAAATGTATTCTTGGGTTTAGATATCATTTAAAGTCCTTTCTGTAATACCCTCCAGAGATCACTCTGATCTCTAGAGGTGTGCCGCGCAGTCCTGCAGAGGGGACCCAAGATTTCACACAGAGCAGTTACCAATCAAGGAGTCATCATCATCAACCCTTTCACTGTCAACAGTTATCTAGAGACAGTGAAATTATGGAAACATATTCATTATTGAGGCCACATAATTGCTTTTTGTTAAAGGTGCTTCTTCTGTGATCTGGGTGGTGCCCTTCCTCTCCCTGGTTGTCTTGAGAGCACTGATGCTCTATTGAAGGATTCAGGATATGGAGTGGATGGAAGATATTGGGAAACATCTCTTCCACTGAGAATGAGTCTCAGAGCACTCTCTGTCCCCAATCTTCATGATTTACAGAAACCAAATAAGTCTAATCGACTCCTAATGTCTAAATAAAGAACCTAAGAAACACTAATATCACAAAGCAGTGAGCGGAGTGCGGCAGAGAATTGGTGGACCACATCATAACAAGCCGGATTCACTATGTTAAATTTGTATGACCCCAGCAACAAAGGTATGAGGGGAATCTTAAAAATTGTTTTTAAAAATCACGGGGGGCGAAGTTCCTCTTTAATAATTATTATAAAAATGACAGCCCATAGGTTTATGGTCACGTGTGGTGCGCCTCCACCAACATGGCGCCTTCAGCGAGATACCCGCCCACTTCCGGGTGCGCGCGGTGCAGTGTGGGACGCTTTTGTCCGGAAGTGTCGGGAACTGTGAGCAGTGCAGGGTTCCGGGCCGGTGTGTTTGAGTCATTGTAGCCGGGAAGATGCCGGAGCTGGCGGTGGAAAGGGTGGTGGTTCACCCGCTTGTGTTGCTCAGCGTGGTGGACCATTTCAATAGGTGAGTGGCGGTCCTTCCGGACAGCGGCTGCTGAGTCACAGGCCGGGTAAGAGCCCGCTAGGCCTCCGGCAGCCTGACAGTGACTGGGCGCTTTCATGGTGCCGGGCACGGGCCCTGCGGATGGTGACGGATGACAGGCCGGACCGTAGCCCCGTATTGTCACTGAAAGTCTCGGGGGGTTCGGAGGCTTTTAGTTTGTATCCTTGTATATAAAGTTTAATTAACACCAAGGCCCCATTCATTGAATATGCTGCATTAAGGCAGGTGTTGGGTCAGCCCGCAAGGTGCGATATTTTATCGTGCGATGCGTTACTACAGCCCATTCATAACCCCCCATTCATATAGTATTTACAGGCCATTTTGAGCCTTTTTTTTCTTTTGCGCACAAATTTTAGAATTGGACATTTTTTTTTCTTTTAGCCAATGGAAAGCTGGAGGAGATGACGATCGGAAACCCCCATTAACGCATTTGCGTCATTGCGTGTCACCCTTTATTGCACCTTGGGGCCCATTTTTGAACTTTGCTTTTTTTTGACTGCGTGTTTTGCGTATTTGTCATGCATCTTTATGCACATCTTAAGGGTGCGAGTAACAATTAGTGCTTGTTTATGCCATATACTGTGCGTATTTAAACTTTTCCTTAGCGCTTAGGCTTTGAGATGGTAATATTTGTAAAGGTTCCCATACACTGTGTGATTATCCCGCGATCGTACGATAATCGCAAAGTGTATGGAAGACGTGTGACCGTTTTTACTGTACGGTCGCACGTCTTTTGTCTAGGGAGCACGCTAGAAAACAAGCCGAAAATTGTACGATTTTCGGCTGGTTTGAACGGTGCTCGGGAGACAAATGCCAAACGGGCCGGTGTGCGCACGCGCACACTGTCCGTTCAGCATTGCGCTCATCGGAAGCCCGCCCCTCAGGGGGGCGGGCTTGCGATGATCGAGAGTACGATCTGCCTGACCAAGATGGGCAGATCGTACGTTTTTTTAAATCACTTTAAAACCCTCGCAAGACAAAAGTCTTGCGAGGATTGTAAAGTGTATGGGCACCTTTAGTTTTGTTTACGCTGTTGTCTTGCGATGCAGCGTGTTTGAAAAAAACCTACAGCATGCTGCAGTGTTTTGATGGTTAGAAACGCGAGGCTGGTTTGACAGTTGCAAACAATATTTAGTACAATTCTCCTTCACTGGTGCTGCAAAGCTTTCAGTATCTGTTTTGTGTTTCTTGTAAACAGGATTGGAAAGGTCGGAAATCAGAAAAGAGTGGTCGGTGTTCTCTTAGGATCGTGGCACAAGAAAGTTCTAGATGTTTCGAACAGTTTTGCAGGTAAGTTGCTGCTTTTTAAGTAGGAAGACTGATACCAGAACAGAGTGATGTTATGGAAGGGTCCTTGAAGCAGGTCTTCACTCACTAAATTAACCTCCCCTCATTTGCCCCCCCCCCATCCCTCTTACACATTTACAATTTGATTGTATAAGTTACAAAATACTGCCAGATTCCTGATCTAGGAGAGGATGACATAGGGATTGCCCCTGCTGCCAGATTCCTGATCTAGGAGAGGATGACATAGGGATTGCCCCTGCTGCCAGATTCCTGATCTAGGAGAGGATGACTCCCCCCTGCTGCCTCCTGAGATGTCCACGTCACACATCCTTAGAGGCAGCATTTCCGGGAAGGGTGCATGCATGCCATAATATTCTACTTGCACAGTTGGTTTTGTAGCTGTTTGGGACCTGGCAGAGACCTGCGGTATGTCTGTGCAGTGTGCACGTGTGGTAATGTTAGAGAGAGAGAAGAGCTCCAAGATTGTGGGGTGGAATGAAAACGGAGGACTTTGGTTCCAAGGAAGACAACACTGGACTGCAAAGTATGAGTATTACTACTTTTATTGTTGTTCTTGCGCCCTAACATATCTAATTTACATTAGTGGCAGCAAACTATACAGTACTTTGAAGAATGAGTAAAGGTTAACAGTTTCATACACATACACCCTAGGGCATGTTTAGTTGTAAGACCGTTTTCACGCATGGAAACCAGAGAATTCAGGTTAAACCCACAGAGATGGAGGGAAAATATACCAACTCTGTGCAAATACAATTCCTGGTGGGTTTTTACACCCATGCCCCAGGCACTACTGTGCCAACATGCCTTCGCCTGTGCCAAGACTCCATACTCCATGATTGCTCATCCCCTATTGGCTAACTAAACACGTGTCAAACATTTCTGTAGTGTTTTGGGAATAATTCACTTTTGTTTGTTTTTTTTGGTCTAACTACAAATAACTTTCCACAGTTCCATTTGATGAAGATGATAAAGATGATTCAGTTTGGTTTCTTGACCACGACTATCTGGAGAATATGTATGGCATGTTTAAGAAAGTCAATGGTGAGTCACACTTGAGATATCAATCACTTGTTCCTGCATTTTGTTAAAACTGAACTGCAAGCAAATAGGCCAGTTTTACCAGCCCAAGGATTTGTATTTCAGCCCATGCAGTCCTTAGATCTACACAGCTCTGTCACACAGCACAGCCCTGTGTGCTGGCTTGATTTTTCTTCTCCAGTTAAGTAACACAGGACTTGTTCTTCCCCCAACCTGTAAATGGATAGTGAAGGAGAAGCGGCAGACTGATGAGCTCATCTCTCTGCTCTCTCATCCCCACCAGCATGTTCCTTGTCACATGAGCACATTAGTTCAACTGATTGGTTCCTTGTGCTGCTTCTCCCTTCCACTCTCTGAGCTTTGCTTTACAGGGATTGCAAGAGGCTGATACCAGATACAAATTCTGGTTCTTGCACTGCTTGCCTTGTCTAATGATGTATTCATGATTACAGAGCTGCATTAAAGGAGAACTATGAGGTGAGTGATTTCCACTCGCCTCATAGTTCTAGCCGACCTGTGACAATGAGACTGTCACAGGTCGGCTAACGGGAGGTATGACGGGAGGATGCTAGTTTGTGTCCTTCCGTTACCCTAAGGAGAACTATGGGGAAAAGCCCTGACCCCATAGTTCTCCTTTTAATGTGTGTCTCTTATATCTGCCTGGAGTTCAGTTTTAACTTTCCACGTTCCCCTTACTGAGATTTATACCGGGTATCTGTTTCACTTTCCTTTGTAGCTCGGGAGAGGATAGTTGGTTGGTATCACACTGGACCCAAACTGCACAAAAATGATATTGCAATCAATGAGCTCATGAAGAGATACTGTCCAAATTCCGTAAGTATCTCCACCTCGGTGTGCGCTTCTGCACACGACCAGAACTTCGTCTTACGTTTCATTCTTTGTGTTTCCTCTCAGGTACTTGTTATCATTGATGTAAAGCCAAAAGATCTGGGCCTTCCCACTGAGGCATATATCTCTGTGGAGGAAGTTCATGATGTAAGTTTTACATTGAAGTTCAGCATTGTATTCCTCTAACAGAATCCATTTACCTGTTATTAGTTTATCAGACGTCAGGATTTCTAGCACTCACAACATGAAAGCTGAACTCCTAGGCAGATATATCAAAAACAAACACATAGGGATGGACCGGTACCGGTTTTTCGGTATTGAGTACGAGTACTGATATTTTGCTTTCGGTACTCGCCGAGTACCGATGGTTCCTCAGTCATGGAGCCGGCTTCCCTGGCAATCAGGAAGCAGGGCGGCAGGTAATGACATGCCGGCCGGCTTCCTGATTGCTCGGAATGCCGGCTCCATGTTATTTGGCCGGCTTGATTGTGATTGGCCGGGAAACCTGCTTCCCAGCCAATCAGCGTAGAGCCAGCTTCCCGGCCAATCAGGAGGCTAGTAATAACGGCTTCCCAGCCAATCGGCATCGAGCCTGCTGTTCGGTTGGCTTGATGCTGATTGGCTGGGAAGCCGGCTTGCCGCCCAATCAAGAAGCCGAGATGCGGGTCATTACTCGCCACCCGGCTTCCTGATTGCCCGGGAAGCCGGCTGCGCGTTCCCCTACGGCACTGCCGGTCAGAGAAAATCTTGCTCTGACCGGAAGTTCCGGTATCGAAGCTTCTGGGCGCGTACGAGTAGGCTAGGTCATGATCTGCAACATGTTCCCATTGTGGGTACTTACAGGGGTTTCTTCTGGGTACTCCAGTTTTCTTTTACGCTCCAAAGACATGCTGGTAGATTATGTATGTGAGATAGGGACCTATTGGGATTGTGAGTTCCTTGAGGGCAGGGACTGATGGGAATGTACAGTATGTGAGTTAGGGACCTATAGGGATTGTGAGTTCCTTGAGGGCAGGGACTGATGGGAATGTACAGTATGTGAGTTAGGGACCTATAGGGATTGTGAGTTCCTTGAGGGCAGGGACTGATGGGAATGTACAGTATGTGAGTTAGGGACCTATAGGGATTGTGAGTTCCTTGAGGGCAGGGACTGATGGGAATGTACAGTATGTGAAGCGCTGTGTAAATTGTCAGTCATGTATTTCTTTTTTTAACCTTCATTTATACCTTTCTATAACACAGCGCAGTAATGAGTAGAACTGATGATAGTCTAATGTATTTTGCCTTTATAGGATGGAACTCCAACCTCAAAGACCTTTGAACATGTCACCAGTGAGATTGGTGCTGAAGAGGCCGAAGAAGTTGGGGTGGAGCACTTGTTACGGTAATTTCCTAATCTTGTACTTGGCTGCCATGGTAGATCTTCAGTGCTTTGAGTAGTGCAGCAAGTGAAGTGAGCCGCCCTCATCTGTTTACGTGTCTGGGAGTCAAGCATTGTTGAAGATGCTTGAGCAGCTTTTCCAGCAGGCAAGTAGCAGTTTTAAGGCTGTGACACACTGCACGCGGAGCGGTGGCGCGCTGCCTTTGCGAGCAGTGTCATGTCATTTTCCCCTGGGCACCTCGGATGGCGAGAGCTCGCGGAGCTGAGCGTGCCGAGATGAACAATTTCAGCCAATCGACTCGCGCGTATAAACCGGCGCGTTGCGATGCGACGTCTGGCCGGTTGTTAAGCACGAGCCGATTGGCTGAAGGTGCAGTCAATCATCTGACTGCACTCAGCTCACACACTGCACACAAAGCTCTGTGCCGGATAGCTTTGCTTCGCTCTGCACGGCTTCACGTGCTGTGTGTCACGGCCTTCAGAAGCAGAGGGATGCGGTGGCTGCCTCCATATATCCCTTAGCGCTGGTTCATTTCAGGGAGAGATTTTCAGTAGGTGATATGTCAAAGGCAATCAAGGTGGGCGACAGACGGACAGGTTGTGGTAAAGAGTTCCAGAGGATGGGAGAGACTCTAGAGAAGTCCTGGAGGCGAGCATGGGAGGAGTTGACGAGGGAGCTTGAAAGCAGGAGGTCTTTGGAAGAGCGGAGGGGACGGTTAGGGTGATACTTTGAGATATAGCCGGGGGCGGAGTTGTGGATGGCTTTGTAAGTGGTTGTTACTATTTTGAATTTTATTCTTTGGGTGAGTGGAAGCCAGTGCAGGGATTGGCAGAGGGTGGTGGGGGATGGAAGCCAGTGCAGGGATTGGCAGAGGGTGGTGGGGGATGGAAGCCAGTGTAGGGATTGGCAGAGGGGGGATGCAGACACTGAGCGGTTGGTTAGGTGGATCAGTCTGGCAGCTGCATTCATGATAGACTGAAGGGGGAGGAGCCTGTGTAGTGGAAGGCCAATGAGGAGGGAGTTGCAATAGTCATGACGAGAGATAACAAGTGAGTGGATGAGTAATTTTATGGTTTCTTTGGTGAGGAAGTAGCGTATTTTGGAGATGTTACGAAGGTGAAGGCGGCAGGATTTGGATAGTGATTGGATGTGGGGAAGAAAGGGGAGGTCCGAGTCAAGGATGACACCTAGGACCTTGGCATGAGGGGAGGGATGGATGAAAAGTTGAGAAACTCTTGTGGGCCACCAATGTGAAAACTAAACACAGGCATTTAACCCCTTCGTGACTGACGACGTACAGTGTACGTCGCCAGCATCGGGGCTGTTTAAACAGACTCCCGGCGACTTTTGCCGCTGGGACTCTGTTTAAACTTGTAGAGCCGACTGTCGGCTTTACAACAAAAGCGATCCTGGCGACTTACCTGTCACCAGATCGCTTCTGCGTCCCGAAGAAGGGGCCGCCCCCCCAAAACACCCCCCCCGCCGGACACCACGTATAAGAGCATGGCCGGCATTGTTATGGTCTATAAGTGCCAATAAAATACCTGTTCATCCTGCCACAAATCCAGCAAGCTCCTAACTTCTTGTAGCTGGCTGACAATGGTGCACTGAAATCTCCAAACGTTCTCAGCCTTGCTCAAGTCGCCTCTGTGAACTCCAGAATGCATTTCCCCATGTTATAGTGAGAGAGCCGTTCTTTAGTCTAAATCGCGAGTGAGCGGCCTAGGGTGACAAGGCTGCTTCTCCTTAGGTACAGTGGTTGAGCGTTGTCACCATAGGACAGGAAGTGTGCTACTTGCAGGATCAGCAGGTGAAAATAAAGGAAGAGATTACAAAATAAAACGAATGCAACATATGACATTTTTGTTCCTTGGTTTAGATCCACCTATAAGTCCGTTATGTTTTTAGCTCTTTGTTTGTAATCTTGCAGAGACATCAAAGACACTACTGTGGGGACCTTGTCGCAGCGTATTACCAATCAGGTACATGGGCTGAAAGGACTCAACTCCAAACTGCTGGACATCAGGAGTTACCTTGAGAAAGTGTCCACGGGCAAGCTGCCCATCAACCACCAGATCATCTACCAACTGCAGGACGTCTTCAACCTCCTGCCAGACGTCAACCTGCAGGAGTTCGTCAAGGCCTTCTACCTAAAGACTAATGATCAGATGCTGGTGGTCTACTTGGCCTCCCTCATCCGCTCGGTGGTCGCCCTTCACAATCTCATCAACAATAAGATTGCCAACAGAGACGCCGAGAAGAAGGAGGGACAGGAGAAAGAAGACAGCAAGAAGGAAAGGAAAGACGAAAAGGAGAAAGAAAAAGCCGACTCCAAGAAAGATGAAAAGAAAGATGAAAAGAAAGAGAAAAAATGATGAGGTGGCATTGTTAGTTTTTAGTTGTATGTTTGCTGGTGGCTGGAACATGTAATAAAAAGATGTTATTGCTGACCAGGCATTACTATTTATACCATGGAAGGGGCCACACTCAAACCACCTCCCCTCTGCAAGTCTCGCATGTCATGGTCAGTTCTGTAGTTACTTTTTCCGGCCAGCCATCCATCCATCCCTGACCGCAAGCTGTTTGGGGTGCCGTCATTAAACCTTTCTGGAAAGCTCAACTTCAGGCAAACCTCTATATACACAGATGAAATATATGAGAGTAGTTTTACCCATTTCTGTCCTTTTTTAGTCCTGAGATTTACAAAGCACAAGCAGGCGGATGAGGCCACTTTCTCTGCTACGATTGTACAATGCCCTGCTGACACCACTCTGCTAATTGGGCAGTGAAGGAGCAGCAGCAGACTGATCAGGTCACCCCTCTGCTCACTCTTCCTTTCAGTCTATTTCTTGCCAGCATGAAATAAATCATATTTAGCTACTTTCACTAGTAACATTTGAAGAACTATATATAATGGATACAGTGCTGTATTCATTGTTGTCTTTTGTATCTGCCTGCAGTTAAGCTTTAAGGACAAAAGTTGTTCACAATGCAGTTAAATATTTTGGGGGGAACAGTTAAAACTTATCACATTTAGAGATTTACACTTGTAACAATATGTCATTAAAACATTTTTATATCATTTTACGGTTTAAGTGGATTTTAGTTGGAAGGGTTTTGAATACGCTTTCCATAAAAAGAAAATAAATGGCATGTTTACATTTGTAGGGATGCGCCGATGCCGATACTAGTATCAGTGCCGATACCGAGTACTTGGGCGAGCACTTGTACTCCTAGCCCGATACCCAAACTTCTGATATCAAGCAGCGAGTCATTACTCACTGCCCAGTATCCTGATTGGCTGTGAACCTGGCTCCACCCACCCACGTCACTGAGCGACGAAGGAGCATGAAGCTGGTCAATCACCAAGCCGGGTAGCGTGTAATAACTCTGCCCGGGTTCCTGATTGGTCGGGAAGATGGCCTTATGAGGAATCCGCACGGCAAGTCATTACCCGCCCCCGGCTTCCTGATTGGCAAGGGTGGGCAACCTCAGTCTCTCCAGCTGTGGTGAAACTACAAATCCCATGAGGCATTGCAAGATTCTGACAGGCATGACTCCCACAGCCAAATGCATCATGAGATTTGTAGTTTCACCACAGCGGGAGGTTGCCCCACCCCTGCTTTAATGAATAGCACTGCAAGCTTCCAGATGGTCCCTTTAGTTTTGTACCTGCATTGCGTGGCAATTTCTGAATTTAAAGTAGATGATAGGAAAACAAAATCTTCAGTACACCTTGTCTGGCACACGTAGACTTCTCAATCTATTGTCTCTTTAAAGCAGAATGACACCGCCAGACCAAATGTAACATGTTGGGCCCCCGTCGGACCTTTTTGTGCCATATTGTGTTCTTATGCAAGTTGGGCAGTGCATACATGGCTCAGCGTATACTCCGAATGGAAAAAATTGCTGAAAAGCATCCAGAAGAAGCCTGCCTGGCGGCGATTTATTAACAAAAGGGATTATTTCTGCTTCAAGTACAGAAAAATACCGTATTTGCCGGCGTATAAATCGGGGGCCGTCTCATACGCCGGGTACATACGGAAGGATACGGTATACTGTATGTAGCTTCGGCTACATACAGTATACCGCCCTGAGCCAATACTACATGTCGATCTGCCAGAAATCCAGCGAGCGGAAAACAGTGCCTTTGCTACACCTTAAGGCTGGGTTCACACCTAGACGTTTGTCGCGCGTTTCTACAGCGATTCGCTGTAAAAAAAAAACGTGCGACAAAAGCGCGTTTCCGAGGGCTACCTGGCTGTATCCCAATAGAAACACGCGACAAAAACGCCCCAAAGAAGCTCCTGTACTTCTTTGGGCGTAGGGCGTTTTGTAGCGCGTTCATACGGCCTGTAATACGCCCAGGTGTGAACCATACCCATAGGAAATAATGGGATTTCGGTGTTTGAGCGTTTTGCAGAGCGTAGGAACGCGCTACAAAACGCCCAGGTGTGAACCGGGCCTTAAAACCAGGACGACCTTTCCTGCTGGACTGCAGAACTTTGCATTGCATGCATCCCGTCCCCTCTCTGTCTCAGTCCACATGCAGATATCAATTTATTTCCCAGCGAAACAATCCTACAGCCTTGCCCCAAAGAGCCAGCCCACTGTGCCTCTTGGGAGATGATGTTCTGGGGGATACTCATCTAGGGCTGCAACAACTAATCGACATAATCGATTATAATCGATTATTGAAAAAGTTGTCAACTTTTTCAATAATCGATTAATCGGCTTCTGATCAGTTGGCCCTGTTCACAGCTCCACACGCTGTGCACCGCACCTCCTCCCCACCTCACGCTCGCCGCTGCCAGACCCGCTCGCATCAATCTGGAACTGACAGCTCACTGTATTTCTGGCTGCTATTTTTCTCTACTCGCTGCACAACAGGGAAATGTGCATGTACTGCAGAGATATACTGAACATGGGTTGTTTATCTTTAAAGTTTGCTGATCAGACCACACACTTAAAAGAGAACTGTGGGGTAACTGGGTTTCCCCATAGTTCTCTTTAAGGTCACAGGAGGACATATACTAGCGTCCTCCCGTGACCCAAAGCTCAGTATATCGCAAGCTACAGCCCGCTGTATACTGAGACCGCCGCGGCCGGGACGGATCCCGACATTACTGTCGAGATCCACCCAGCTGTGTGAGTGACAGCTGGCTCTGCCAGCTAGAGGCAGCGCTGGGATCGGAGGGTGGGGGGATCCCTGCAGGGAGCCATGACTCGCGGTCACCGCTCACTGCAGGGAGAGGATTGGGAAGTGAGCGAGCGATGGTATGTGTTCCCTCACTTCCCGATCTATTGAGCCGACCTGTGACAGTTTCATTGTCACACGTCGGCACAAACTCTGAGGATGAGTGATTTTCACTCACCTCATAGTTCTCCTTTAATGACGAACAAAATGTTTGTATTGGTGCTGTGCTAAACAGTGCACTCATCTACACTTACTTCCTCCCCCAGTAACGGAGCCAATCCGCCTTATTAATGAACATTCCAAAATGAAAATGTTCTTTCCCAAAACAATCAATACATTTTTTAAAAATTTCATCTGGTATGTGCAAACCTGGCTGTTCTAATCTGACTTCTCTTGGGCTTTGCCATCATTCCTTAATGAGGCTGTACAGCAGGGGAGGTAACCTCGTCTCTCCAGCTGTTGTGGAACTACAAGTCCCAAGAAGAATTGCAACTCTAACAGCCAGAGGCACGACGGGCTTTGTAGTTTTACCACAGATGGAGAGCCAGGGTTTGCCTACCCCTGCTGTACAATTTGTGATCTGTAGCTATACACTCTCTGACCACTGGGGGTCAGCCAAGAATCGCAGACAAATCACTGCTGAATTTATACGCTATATGACCAAAAGTTTGTGGACACCTGACTGTCACAGCTTTGTATAGTGACACTGGTCCGTCCAGTCCAACCTACACTATATTACCAAAAATATTGGGACACCCTCCAAATCATTGGATTCAGGTGTTCTGTGAAATTTCTTACCCAGAAGAGTCGAAGCTGTTATAGCTTCAAAGGGCGGAGCCAACTCAATACTGAACCCCACGGACTAAGACTGGGATGCCATTAAAGTTCATGTGCGTGTAAAGGCCGGCGTCCCAAAACCTTTGCCAATATAGTGTATGTGTGTCAGTTCGAGTATTCTAAAACTATACGAACCCCTGTATATTGAGCCCACTGAGGAAGACATCTACAAATGTATTCCAGCTGATACTACTTCCTGGGGAGGAGAGTTCCACATTTCACTGCTTTAACCCTAAAGAACACCTTCCACAATTTTACATTAAACCTCCTTTCCCCCCAACATCAAATTGTGGCCTTGTGACACAGTTCTAGTGGGCGACTCTTAACGCAGCAAATGAGCAAAGACTAGATTCCCAAAACTCAAACTATTAACTTCTTTTATTTGCTCCCTTTTAGTCTGTTAAATATACAATTCAAAGTTTTCTTTTGTTATATTCTATTCAAGAAAGGCAAAAAATAAATGGTGATCATTAGGGATGCACCGATACCGATACTAGTATCGGTGCCGATACCGAGTATTTGGGTGAGTACTCGTACTCGCCAAAATGCTCCGATACCTAGCACGAGTACTTCCTGTATCAGGAAGCCGGGCAGTTCGTCATTACACGCTGCCCGGTTTCCTTATTGGCCGGGAAACTGCTCCATGCTCCCTCGTCACTTGTGATGAGAGAGCATGGAGCCGACTTCCCGGGTAATCAGGAAGCCGGGTAGCGTGTAATTACGCGCTGTCCGGCTTCCCGATTGGTCAGAAAGCTGGCAAGTCCGGAAGCCGGGTAATGACGCAGCGCCCGGCATTCTGATTGGCAGGGAAGCCGGCATCATGCTTACTCGTCATCTCATGAATCATAATATTAAGAAACTGACCTAAAATCATTAGTTTGTATTGCTTTAGAAAAAATGTGACCTGGTCCTTTAAGAAAAAGTATCGGTAATTGGTATCGGCGAGTATGTGATCAAAAGTATCGGTACTCGTACTCGGTCTTAAAAAAGTGGTATCGGTGCATCCCTAGTGATCATGTCGAAAATTCAGATCTGTCTGGTTTTATCTCAAGGAGAGTAATTAGCACTCGTAGGTCTAGGAGGACTACACAATGAATAGACTTGTATGTATGTTGTAGTGATGGAAATATGGGAGGGTTTGAGTAGTTTAGCAAAAGACAAATGGGCATGGCTGACACCACTATGTCCACAAAAATACTGTGTGGTGTCAGTCTAAAGCAGAATGATGTTTCTGGCAGATCGTTAGATACTTTCTGTACTTGCAGGTACTTTAAGGGGGTAAAACATGGGGAAATGTGCATGGATCCCAGTGATCTGCATATGTTATTCAGCCGTGACATACTGTACACATTAATGTATTTTACAAAGCTATAGTTAATAGAATGATTTCATTTTATGGACA